CATCTTAGGCCGGTAGAGTTTGGTTTCAGATGTGCTTGCCACAAGCTTGTTAAATATGTTGACGAATTCTCCCCAGGCCACCGCAGGGGTCTATTCGGCTAAGAACTACCAGCATGTTGCATCATTGAGCTTGGACAGGTTGTCATAGTTGGTCACGACATGATATTACTCGGCATGGTCTTTAGGATAATACTCGTAGCACATGTAATGAAACACTAGCCTCGCACGACCGCTGCGGCCAAGAGGAGTATCAGTTATCACTCTTTTGACCATCAGCTTTTAAGTAGTGAATAATCGGTCAAACATGGATGGCCTGTCAGTTCCCCTGAATCTGGTGAGCGTAGTGACGTGGCCATAAAGCGAGAAGTCTGAAACCAGATCCTGCAGGTCTGCTTTGAACTGCTCTCCTGGTGTGGCCTGGGATTCTAGAGCAAGGAAGTTGAAGTCGCTGGTGACTAGAATGTGACTGTAATCCTGTTTATCACTTGCCTCAACGCATCCACCAAATTGCAGGCCACCTCAGGAGTAGACGATGGTGGGCAGTAAATAACAACCAATAGGCCAAGATCGTTTCATCTCAGCCATAAATTACACCACATGGAGTCAGGTACGTCGACTTCCACATTGTTTATGGGTTCGCATTGCAGGTTGTTATAAAAGTAAGGGGCTACCCCATCACCTTTGCTGGTTCGATCCTGCCGGACAACGGACATGTCTGTTAACGCGATTTGGCATCAGGTATCTCACAGTGCAACCACGTTTCGGTGACAGCGATGAGGTCCCAAGCTGCTGACGAGTGTCGACGTCTTCATTCAGCTAATTTGCTGAGTAAAACTTGGGCATTTGTGTACATGCATGAGAGCTTCTCGGAGACCAAAAGAGTGCTAGATTGGATGGATGAAGCAAGTGAGTTTACGCTGACCATAAAGGGTCGGCGACTGATCGCTTTATGGATGGGTTGCAGACTCTCAAGACGAGCTTGGTATATAGGCAAGTATCAGATGCCCCGGATCTCCATGTTTGCTCGTGCTCTGCTGTGTCCCTCCGGATGTTGTGGCTATTGTTGAAACCGTCCCCGTAGTCGGGTCCTGCAGTTGGCATTTTTCATTAAGAGTTGTGCCTCCACTGAATTGTCGTTAGTACGTGCTTGTGTTTCCGCTGCTTCCAGACAAATTTCTGGTAGCGATCTGATACGGAATTTGGTCCGGTTCTCTAGAAGGGTTTGTGCTGTTAGTTCCGATTGTAATACGTTTTAACAGCCTGGGTCCGCACCCCTTGTTGTTTGGTGATATGGAGATCCTTGTCAAATAGCTGGCTATGACGTTAGCGAGAGAAAGAGCCTCCCGGACCTAGTGCCATTGCTCGCGGCCGTGCATCTAACCATCGTCGGGAGGAATCTGTAAGCTCAGGAACACCGTGTGCAATCACTATTTTATTATCGACTTTTTCTATACCTCTCTCTGTTGGCGGGTTCTGCTGAATGTTATTTCCACAATACAGCCTGTAAATGGATAGGCAGCGAAGCAGCGTAGGATTGAGGCAAAGTAAGATGACTTGGAAAATACTGTCTGATGTCGACAGTGGCTGTTCCAAGGGCGGACCAAATTGACAACTATCTTTGTACAGCAAGCAGAATGAATGGTAGTAAGATGCTCGGGTGACCCTCAAAAGGATCTTTAAAATAGGACCACAAGTGTTCTTGTGCGGCAAGAGGAAAAATAAATTCTCAACTAAGGTTCAAACAGGGTTGGCTTCGAAATTGCAAAAGCACAATTCGCTGGTAAGCCGCTAATGACAGATCCAAAAGAGGCACAGTAGTAGTAGGAGCTCGCAGTGCCAAATCGAATGATGGCACGTAGGTCTCTGTGAGAATAAATCCGAAGATTTAAAGGCGAATAACGCAGGGGGACACTATTTTGCGAACGTTGATGAAAACGCGGTCTGAATGCGTCATGTGGATATTCAATATGCTGAATACAGCAAATCCCTTGCCAAATTCGTAGTTCGTGGTTTCCATGCAGCATGATTCGACTAAGGAGAAGGCTGATGCATACCTTGAACATATGCGCAGAACTTGGTCTTCCTTCTCAACTAAATAGTTTTATTTGATTCCGTGACATTAATCAAATAAATTCTAGTCTATTCGAACACAATTAAAACGAATACTCACTTGTGTTATGTGATCTAGCTATATCTATTTGATCAGACCACTGAGTTGAAGCGTGCCTCACATTATGGGGAAACCTGTTTATATTTCTTTAGTTATTTACTGCATAATTGTATTAATCATGTAGCACAAATCTAAACGGCATCCTAATACTCATAGGTATTTAACACACCTACCCTTATGCGCTGCTTCCAGATGGAATTTTTCTTCGATGAGCTCTTTGACTTCCTCCTACTATTTGACGGACCGGATTGTATGTCAAAAAGGATCGCGGCCATATATGACAATCAGCAGACGAGATACGTTACATCCGGCCATCAGATGGTGCTTCTCCTTCTCTCAGATACAACAACACCCAACGGCGCATTCAGCATAAAGTACGGTGCAAGTAAGTTAATGTCCACTAGGAGGTTTGTTGGTGTCTCAAAAATCCCGCGGATCGAAAGCAGTGTTGTGATCTGCTGAGTGCAATCGGTTGTCGATGAATTTGGTGGGATATATGTTATATGAAACAATGAAATCCTGAATCGACGAACTTCCTCTAAGTTATTCCGAAAGCTTGCTACTCTCGTTGACATACTGAGTACAAACGGCGTGAGATTAGATGCTCAAAACTATCATTCGGGTGTTTGAGACATCATGTGAATAAATTGTTCAAAGCCAAAGTTAACAATGGAAAGTCGTGTATTTTGTTAATCATTGGCTGCATGACAGGACGTAACCGGAAGGTTATTTAATTTGATGCCAGCCACACAAAACTGTTATGAGTATTGTGTGATTAGCAACTTTATTTATTCGCACTAAATAGTTTAGGAATGCGAATCTACAGAGTTTAAGTTATTTTATGTACACATGTTCCTTCGCCTTGGATTAAATAGAAAGTATACCTAAATTTTTAACTGAAGAAGGTTTTCAATGCACTAAAGTGCACATAATGAAAAAGCTATTAAATTTATAGATCACAGGAGCCCCATCCTACTTAAACTATAATGTAACAGCGAAACTAGGCCATTCAAAATCTTTTAATCTAATGGCTCGAACCCGTGCTATTAGTATTTATACAAGGACATATGGTTCAGAACGCGGTTACAAAGCCACAATTTATAAGATCCCTGGAATGGTTTAAATTTAAGCATACGCAAATAAATTTAATTCCGATCCTCAGTTGGTTTACAGTATCTAGGCTAGCGTATGCCATTCCCATATTTATTGTCTTTTAAAACTGAATGCGAATGATCATACTCATTAATTAATAGTTTAAGGTAGTATAACGAGAAGTTTCCCCTAGAGGTGTTCGCTGTTTGTCTATAAATAAAATGTTTTGCCTTGTTGCAACCATCACTGCTGTGCACTCTACTAAAAGCAACAAGTAGAAAATCCTATGATGAAACCATTTCTTTTGATGTTACTGGTTATTTGCTACCTGATAGAAGTTTATATTATAAAATGCATACCCGAATATTAGTTGAGATGAAATTGTCGCTATACTGCTTGTCAAGTCCTAACTAATAATTATTGAACCAGGAAGAGGGATGCGTCCATGTAGGATGGACAAAGACTATCACAAATACCATCGTTTACATTGTTCACGGAATAAATAATACGATATTTTCTGTCACATATACCAGCACACTTTGGTATCCGTTCTAATAGGATAATAGCATTATTTAAGCTCATCTCCTCTTCAGCAACTGTTGCACAGCAAATTGCCAGTTTTCATAGTATTGGCTGGTAGAATCTGTCCGATCAAATCATAAACATAAAAGAGTTCCTTCTTCGTTAACACAACGGTTACGTCAAAATGAACTTTGAATATAATATGTAGAAAAGAAAAGTAATGTGGATGGCCATGCGCTAAGTTTATTGCATGATATTATTTCGCAAGTAAATTAAATGGGATAGTTGTATTGTCATAGGATAAAAAGAATATGACTATGGAAATATTTTGATGCTGCTCTTGCCAACACTGACACCCAGTGACCGTAGTTTCAATCTGATTTGACTCACCAGGTGGAGATACCATGAGCTGGGGTGGAACTCAGCGCCTAGTTGTTCACGACTGGCGCCACACAGCGGATTCTCCAAGCCCAACTTTGAATACGTTGCCGCTGTACCAAGCTTTGCTCACGGATCTCAGTGGCATAGTGTTTCTGGCTCTGATTTCCACCCCAGCTCTGGCTGTCTCCACCTGATGAGTCCAAACCAGGACGAAACCACGGTCATGGCGTGCCAGTGTTGGGATGAGCAACACCACAATATTTCCATTCACATTCGGTCCTTGTGATCAGAATGACCGAGGTCCACCTCAAGTAAACCGAGGTCGCACTAGATGTTGCTTGTAGCAGCCCAACCACACAGCGGATTCTCCACGTACAACTTAGAATATGACTATTTTCCGAATCGTGCAATATACTCAACATAATGGTTTTCTTAGCTGCTTAGAAATTAGAAGATTCTTTGAAAGCGGATTTGATGTCTAAACAGATACGTGTATGCTAGCAGTTTAGACGTAGGACGCATACCAATCAGATATTCCGCGTTAACACAGCATCAATTTTTAGTTGGCGAAATTTGTTAGTTTTATTTTGACCGGAGTCAGAGGGTTTACTAATATCCACTGAAATTGAACGATTACACAATAAACAGGTTATTTTTTCAATTCGCTAGATAGCATTTGTTATTCTCGAAAATCCATGTTGCTACGCTGTGCTTTCCTGAAAAGCTTATCAAAGCGTACTGAGTTTGACAGCCTTAAATGTATGTGTCTACACAAAACAATTGTCAAAGAATAAATAAATAGTATCCACAATTAAAAGCGATATCGCCATTATAATCCGGTTATCTGAATTTGCATTGAAGTGTTTTGCACTAAGATCTTTTGTATCGGCACAAGATTATTAGTAAGTAAACACTCTGTTAATGTCAAATATGACCCAGGGAAACGATGGATAGAATTTCTATTGAATACTGAATATTGTATTATAGAGCAAGTAGAAATGGATTCTGTACAACTCTTTCAAAATATGATGAAAAACGTTATAAAAGTTGTCAACCATGAATATCATTGTCGTTCTAATGTAACATTTAAAATATCTGACTTGCGATATTTATGGATTCACAAATGTGATATGTCATCGTAAGTGTGCAGTCGTTCTCTGAATCGAATAGTGGCAAAATACAAATCTAACAACGTTTTGAACTGTTGCCCAGATGTTGCCTCAATCACATGTACAGGCAAACTCTTCCAAATGTTTACCACTCTCCGTTCGAAGCACAGTGGGTGGGGAACATGCCTTACATCCGGCACGACAAGTTCGTATTTGTGTCCGCGTGTGCTGCATGGCCCTCGTAAGTGCTGCATTAACCTTAGCATTGGGAAGTCACCGTGTGTAGAATACTGAGGTCGACTCGCACCCGACGGTAGGACAAGGTGTAGAGTCCCAGTTTCTCGTATCGGTCTTCATACCTAAAGCCACGTAAACTCAGGATCAGCCTGATAGCAACGTGTTGGACCCGTTCGATCTTTTGTGCCTCGCCTCGGGTAATCGGAAAGTAGGTGGGCTAACCGTACTGTAGCATTGGTCTAATGATAGAAGAGAAGAGGCGAGTGACAACCTCTTCAGACCATGTGCCGAAGCTATGTTTGAGCGCCCAAAGCATGCTCAGTCCGTTACGATATAGCCTGTTCGTGTTGTCCACGGACTTCAAATCGTAGCGTGAGAGTACACCTAGGTCTTGAGATAAGGAGAAAGACAGTATCTGAACAAATATACCAAAGTAAAATGCAGGATAGTCGGGAGATCAAGCAGAAATTTCATTATGACTGGTATGGTGGTCGTGGAAACACGCTAATAAAATAAAATATGCGTTGTATAATTTAAGTGCTGACAAAGGGCTAGAAGTCGTCTTCATAAAAGCTTTCTCACAGAGGTGAACCACTAAATCAAATTAATGAGCAAGCGTGCGGAAAATGCCGTAGAATGAAGTGCTCATCATTGGTTAGTACCATCCTATGGGAGCAGAATGCATAACATGAGCGAGGTTACAGTAGGCACAAACAAGCCGAAAGCAATCGATTCAAGTATTGGGGTTAGAGAATTTATCCTCACAGAGATTGGGCTGTCTTGAAATAGTTTACCATAAGATTACATTCCAAACCACCACCGGTATGAGGCTTATCACCTTCTTTTAGCAGGCAAACTTTTAAATACTCAGAACAATTGAACAGTTGCATAAGTCAGTTTGCGTTAAACGTTAAGGATCCGCTTGTTCCGCACTCTTTCCTGATATAAAGAGAACTTGCAGATAAAACTAGCAGATTTATGGTTCCCAGGATACAACAGTTGATCCTGCGCATAGCGTAGAAAGAAATTGCTACTTGTAATACATTGGATCAATCTCAGTGTAGTACGGAATAAATGTCTGGGTCTTTTCCTTTAAATGCCTGGGTTCAATTATTGAAAAGCTATGATGGCACTGAAAGCAAGTGCATCAGGTGCAATATAATAGTATTTGCTTTTTACAGCAGTGAGCCATCGGACACTCTGACTACTTTTTCAAGACAGATAGGGTTCATCTCATCGCATATACTGGCAACATTTTTATGGCTTGACGGAGTACGGCTTAGGTTCTTTATGCAAGACTGAAATTAAATTAAGCGTGTCATACAGTACATTTTGTGGATATACAGTTCCGTACAATACCACAGTGCCTGGGGACTCAACGGTACGCTGAGGCTTGTAGTGTTTCGATCTTGTCAGATCGTCGATTCATTGCTACCAGCTTTGTGCCGTACGCTCAAGTTTTGGACGCATCCTCGTGGCGACCACTTGGTGGGAGTTGGGTCACACCCTACTACTATATAATACTATAGTACTATATAGTTAACAGCTGACACACACAATAGCGCATTACTCGGTTCCCAGACTAATGACGCACAGCATCTTACATTTCTGGTGCAAACTTTATCAAACGATTTGGATGAGGAGCTATTTCGTTCTCCTGTCAGATGTGGGCTCTCTGACAATATCCTAACCCAACGGCAAAACAGGAAATAGATATCTCATGCTACATCGACCGTGGTGCAATGGTGGGGGAACGAAGTGAGTCGTTTGTTGGCTTCATACTGTTGGGTGACTAATCGAGAAGTTGCTACTGCTGAAGCTTCCTTATTATTTCATTTTCTGCGCATAATCTCCCTGTCCACATTTCAGCTGTCACATTGCTAACTCCAATCAATGTCACCACACGACCGATTGCCTACCAACGCAATCATATGCTATAACGCAAAGCGCTTAATCTCTGGCGTTGGAACGACCGCACGATTCTCGACCGGAACTCTAGCGAGCGCCCCGAGCGTCCCGTAGCACTGGTCGCCATGGGACTCGCGCGCTACGAGATCGATATTGCAGCGCTCATCGAGACTAAGCTCGCTGATCAACGCAAGACGCATTAAGCTGCTGCTGGTTACATCTTCTACTGGTTGGGAAACGCAACGACAGCCCCACATGAACATGGGGTCGGATTTCCAATATCCGACCGTCTAACTAGCCAGTGGTTGGCAGAACCGACTAGCAACCGCACGAGGTTTATGACTTCACCAGCGTATTGAAAGAGCTAATTTTGCCACATTTATTAACACATAGTCCAGCATGTGTTATTCTGATACGAGTAATGATCCGTTTTATACTCAGGTATCCTGAGTGATACGGTCTGTACCCAGGAATGATCGGCTCTTCCTACGGGGTGAAAGCAACGCGCACGTTTGCGTGATGCGGCAGCATGGACAGACATCAACGGTCCGTATAGCATTGGCCCAGCCAATGGGAATGGTGACCAGCTGTTCTCACTGTGCGCCAGTCAAGGCCTGATGATCACGAACACCCGGTTTTCACTGGGTGTGAGTGACATAACTATTTAAAAGCACCAAGGCGTGGTCACACCCACCTGCTCGATTACGTCATCGAACGTGACGAGGAAGTCGACCCTGATGACTGCGTGATGGCTATGACCCAAAGGACAGTCTATAACCCTTTCATCAATCATTTGTTCCTTGTTGGTGAACACAAGACCCAGTAAATATGGTCTATTAATTGTCCTGAAAAGAGTGAACAAAATGACGTGATTGTAAACTGGGACACTGGTTATGAGCTCCTGCAGGTCGGCTTTGAATTGTTTTGGGATGGTGGCAGGGGTTTCTAAACAAGGTACGTTGAAGTTATCCATGGTAAGGATGTGGGTGCGCTTTCGTTTTAGATTAGACCTTAAAGCTGTTGTAATGTGATAATCCAGTTCGTGTGTAGAGTTAGGGGACTGTAATCCAAAGCTATAAGGCAGGTGTAATTACAGGCAGCACCAAAGAAAATCGGTGAACTGCGTTTGAATCCTCCACGCCTCGCGCCTTAGGTCGCTTCGGTAATAAAAGTTACCCTTCCTCATTTCGTAAGCGTGCTGTTCCGCATGAGTGACCTGCCTAGCAGCGAGAATTCGGCGTCCGACATTCCAGTGTGCAACCATGGCTCTTTGACACAGAGGATATCGTACGGCTTCGAAATATGGCAATCTTTCAATTTAGTCAGTTTATTTGAAACGTTTTGAACATTGGTACAAAGGCAGGATAGTTTCTCGATCTCTAGAAGCCCACAGGGAGCTAAAGGATTTTAGTGTGGGAAGCTGCCGAATGATACGAGGTCAGCAGTTGTTCGTATTTTTGATGGGATCATGATACGTCGTCAATAGTCTGATTTGGTCAAGGTATGTACCATTTCCTGTCCGGACATACTGCGGAATCAGGTGACCGAGGAATAATGTGTGAAGCTCCTTGAAAGAAAAATACGGTCAACCAACGCAAGAATTCCGCCTCCGAATGTGATAATTTCACAAGGTTTCTCTTCTGTAACTTGAGTTCTTTTAAGAGAAATTGCAATTACTAACAGTTGGATGCACCACCCTTATGAACTTATGGTTGTAATACAATTTTCCAGGTATGAGTCAGGCTTAAACAAGAACACGCGATTATCCTTCATAACCGGTACTTAACAATGCCATATAATCGAAAGAATGGATTATAGCAATTTATTAAACTTTTAACGAATAGAATAAACTCACTTGCTAGCTAACCTCTTTGAAATTCAGCATTCTGTGGATTAAATACTGTTTATTTGTACTGAAATGTTGACACCAAACTCCGATGCAGTTTGACGTATTAAACTATGAAGAGACAAATAGACTTAGCAGCCCATAGTTTAGCCGCGGATGTCACTGAGGTTCAGTAATCATTAATACTTAATATGTTAAACAAAACTTTATCTCCTGAGGTTAAATGTGGGTAATGATGAGTTATCTAACTCATTAAGATGGTGCTCGAATTTCTTAACATTTGCGGAACAAATTCAGGAAAGACGTGTCCAACATAATAATCGCTACAATGGGAATCCAAAGATAGGCTAGCTGAAGAAACGGAATAAACTATAGCATTTCTCAAACAGGTCTTTCGACAGCAACAGTACATGAGTTGACGAGGCGCGTCATGGAAGTACCTTTCTAACCTAATCAGAAATAAAAGCAAAAGTCCAGTGTAGTTTGGGCTGATCAAATTTTCGGTGAGCATCAATGAGGAGGGCTGGGTGGGGCAATCTCACAATCACTAGCGTTTACGACTACCATCCTAGCTTCGGATCTGTACTCATGACTGGTGCCTTGTTCACCAGCGTGTGAACTAGACGATAATTTGACTGAAGGTAATGTGTAACGCCGAGGTAAGAATTCGATCGCTTTTTTATTTGGACAAAATGGTGGTAAATGGGATTCTTCTATCTGGAGCGAATGTAATCGAGGCTTTAAGATCTGGAGAGTACTCAAGGTCTCAATAGATGAACTTGTTTACGAGCGTGTGAAAAACTTTTATCAGCGCACTTTGATAGTAATTATTTATAATCTATTTATAACTCACCGGCACGAAAAGCTACAATTTCTGCTGCTGCCGTTTTAAATGTTGGTTTTGAAAAAGCAGAGTGACAGGGTCTGCCTTGCTAAGAATTTGTAACCTGCCTTTCACTATAAATAGTAAAACACAAGCAAAGCAATTTTGAGGAAAAATCTTTAAACGAACACCCATCGCAAGTAAAAGCTTGGTGGGTATTTGTTAACTGGCCATATGTAGCCCTTTTGTTGCTTATGGCAATGTCTGTATATAAACACAAAAATATGACCTTGAGGAAACACATTTGTTACTTCTTTTGTACAGGTACTTGTCAGTCCCTTAGTACAAGTTTTATTGTAAACTTCTTTTATTATTATCGCTCCAGATGGTCTCATTCTTCCCGTCCGTCTTTCTTTCAGTCACCGATGAAAGTAAGTCATCAGAATAGTCTAGGTAAAGACTTACTACGGACAAATATGTCTGGAATTACATATATACCTTTGTGTTGTACAACTAGAAAGGATAATGCACGAATGCTATTTACAAACATTATATGTAAGGATAAATAAGGAAGTAGAATCATTTCGACAATCTTAGAGAACTTTCATAAATTTATGCACCGTTTACACACATGTATAGGAAGACTACTCACTGTGTGGTTGCCACGATGGATATCTTACAAAACAAGAGCCTTGGAGAGAAACGTGTGGAAAACTTTCCAGTGCGGTAGCCTGTGTTGTGCTCAAATGAATATAAGTAGATTTTATCAACCACTGGCTGGGATTAGAGAAACAGTCCTATTTCAAACAACAATTTACAGGTTAATGTTCGTGCAGTACAGAGGTCGGAGTGAAAGTTTGATTAAACACTTATCCCACTCTGCGAGTAAATGTGTACACACTTGGCTGGCTTATATTTAAGTATACAGTACAAAAGGTAGTGTAACCAGTTATACAACTGATTGTGATCACTCACTTTTTGTTTAGAAATGAATCCTCCACAACCACCATTCCGTAAGTGCCCATGTTTTAAATCTAGTTCATTTGAATGATTCATTTCTCAATTATTCATAATACCTAGTTGTTGCAACTCACTTAGGCGAGTAGGGCAACTAGCTCACAGTAATGCTGCGAGCACGTAGTTAGTTTGGATGTCAGATGCATATCTAATACAACACAGCCGAAAGATGGTGTATTGGGGGAAACAGCAAGGACGTAAGGAGTCAATTGGAATGCTCAGAATATGAACTACGAAGTGAAGAAACGAAAATATGGTGACGAAATTAGAAGTGTTTTATTGGACCCATCATTGTGTTCACATTGAGGCCTGCTTACAAGAGCTTACATCGACTGCGCAGGTTATTAATGCTTTCTTCATCGTTTGTCACGTTATACCGTCTCTTGATATACCAAGCTATATTTCCTTATGTAGGTGGGTTAGGTCAAGCTTAAGTCGGTTTTCAGCACAGATAAATTGGGGACATGAAAACGTTAATAAGGGATACCGTTCCATAGCTGGCAGAAATGAAGATGTAAAAATTTCGCTAACATTCTAGTCGGCTGTAGTGCGTGCCCAACTTAAACTGTCGACTCCTCAGGTCCGTAGTTTACTAAGCTGAGTAGGTGGCGGTAGGTGTACTTACATTGCTACGTAATCAAATAAAGCAAACGTTGCTGCTGTGACAGAGCCAATAGACAAGTGACAAAATAACTCAAATATGAATGGTTAGGGAAAGTAAAATGTTGTCACATAATTACAGCAACTAATAAACAATGTATGAGAGAGCGCTGATACTTTCCTGACTTTGAAGTGAAAAACTTTTGCAGTCAGAAAATGACAGTTTTTCAGTACATTTATCCATGAGTCTGATATATTTGGTACAGTAAATTTTTCTGATTTTCTAGACCAGTCACATAGAAGTCGTTTGGTTTGCATCAAACCGGAGGTCAGCAGCATGTTTGGTGTCGGAAATGTCTTCGAATGTCACTATTACTAATGTTCTTCCAGCATCAGAAGATAAAATATTCTGGCGGAGCCAGATAAGATGAGTAAGGCGGTGGGGACTAATCGAAAAGATAAGGTGTTCATTTTGGCAGCCATAACTCGTTTGTGTTTTTGATCGCTAGTAAGACATCTCAGCACCCACTTTAATGAAAGCTTATGCATGTCAAGGATAGTATAAATAAAACCCAACAAGCTGTCGTGAGTTGTCCAATAGCTTGGCAATTTTTATAGCACATATTTGCAGGTCTTCCATAATCTGTTCATAAACTGACTCGCAGCATGCCGGGTTAATTGAGTTTTGGGGACGCCAAATGCGGGGCTCAAACTGAATGTTCAAATGACCAGCCTAAATGCAATATCTTAGTTTTGTAATCGCAGTATAAAGGACACTTCTCCCACAGTGTTTGCAACATTTAATTGTAAATCTCTTTATGGACTTTTCCGGGGACACAAAGACTTCATGATGGCTCGTTATACAACAGAAGTGAAACTGGCTTCTGCACCTTACATCCCAGATATTACTTAAACAAATAACCGATGTTTTGGTATCACAGACATGTGATATTAGGGTAGTTAGATACTAGGATATTAGGATCTCATGTGTCGTTCAACGCTTTTCCTATTTTGCTTTGGAAGGAAAAAAGCCAGGAACTTATTAGCCCTCCATTGTTTACAACAGATTAGAGCATGCTTTTGTATCTCTTTAAGACAAGCATTATTGTACTATTTCCACTTAACTGAACCGTCCATTAAATCTAGTCTAGGTTTCTCGATCTTCCTTTCAGCAAATAGTATGACGTTGGGTGAGTTTTGACGGATAACCAAAACCAATAACAGGAATGCCTTATGTGTATGTTTTTTGTAGTACACTTTATTTACTGGAAAAGCGTGTTATCGACCATTCCGATGTTTCCACCAAATTCGCCGTGGCTACAATTCAACGGAAGATAAAAATGGCAATAACATATGAATGAGTGTTACCCGATTTTAAATGAGTCAATTTGTTTGCGTGTATTTCCTATATAACATGATTTGATTACCCAACTGTTGGGTGTAATTTTGAAACAAACTGAGTGGTGCAACCACTCACCTACTTTTAACATTTTAAAATGAAATTGGACAGCTGATGCAATCTTATTTTCCTATTAAGTTGTAGTAGTTAACTGCAAGGAAAAGTGTTATGAATCAGCATTTCCTCAAACCTAATATTTCGTGCTCTTTTGTTCTCTTCAGTGTAATAAAAGTTCATTCCAATATTTCGTAGCCTTGAGTCAGCTTTATCTACTAAATGAGTACTGACAGTAGATATATCCTTCGTGATGCATAAAAGATAGGGCGCACATATTACGGTTGTGTTATGCCCATTTAATTGAGCTGAAACTCTCTCCGCCTGCATTGTGACTTTGTTATTACGAAACTTGCCGTTCCATTTCGAGCATTTGACTAACCGACCGAGGTGACATGGACTTCCTGATCGTCGTTATTGTCATTTCATACTAAGTGTGTTATTGCGTTCTGTTGTGCTGAATGATCCCATTGTGTTTCCGCATGTCTCAAAGGACCTGAAATTTTGTACGAGCATATGCATTTGGTTGAGGATGCAGCGATGCAAACCTGAGGCGCACTCACTGCAACCCGCTGTGCAGTATAGACGTCTGGAGTGCCGCAGAAACTTATTTCCTATTACTGTCTGCCCCCGTGGAATGCTCTCCCAGAATCGGTCGGCACCGCACCGACACTAATAGTTTCTAAAAGACGGTTGGATAATGCACTCACTCACTTACAATTTGTCACCTAACACCACGTCTCCATCCTACACCTGGAATTATTTGATGATAACTGTGGGTTCTGTGAATCTAAGCGGATCTCAGGACTACAGCGGAGCAAACGTGTTCCTATTTTCATATTTAAAGTACTAACTGTTTTACTATCATTGTTGTTATGTTGATATCCCCACCAACTATCCAACGGGACTTGTAATTCAACGCTTCTTAGTCCTGATGACTTCATGGTTCATTGAGGGTAAGAAGATTATAGCAATCCGGCGGAAGAAGTACGTGAGTTAGGAGGTCGTCGGACATAGTTCAGAGCAAACTATAGCATGTAACGTACCAAATGTAAGCATAGCTGAAACTCAGTAATATTATTCATCATCTTAATAAGCTATCTGGTACAGCACATTATTCAGATTCTAACTCGTCTCATCACGTATAGTCGCTGAAAATAAGCAGCGCAAAAGGCTGTATGAATAAGTGAGGGCACGTGTCTGTTGGGTGTCATCGCTCCGCGATACCCAGAAATTTTGCTATATTTTGCTAAAAATTCTTCTAAATCGCAACTTGTAATATCCGTGTGTGACCATAAGCAGGCAAGATTTTGTAAACTACTATAAACTGCAATCTTGACTTCGTAAGATACAAGGTCATATTAATAAGGTTCAGTGTTATCAGGTTAAATCAGCTGTTTTCCAAAATATTCTCCATTATATTTGGCCATAAGTCTTGACGTCAGCATAACATTTTTATAAATTAGAGTACTTTGAAGCTTAGATGTGGTGTAATCTTCCATACCATTTTACACAAGACGTATGAGGATGGTTGATAGTTACCAAAATGTTCAGTCGGACAACGATGGTGAATTCAAAGGTTCGGCAAATCTACCATACTTGTTCAAAATATCATTATGTCCTATGTTGCGGAACTATTCGTTGCAAAATGTCTCTAAAAGCATTCGCGATTGCGTTCAAACAGTCGTTAGAATGAGAAATGGATTCAAAGTTCATACTTGAATTCTTGGATACTTAATTAAATTTTACGCAGTGGATTAAATTTTGGAGTCCCCAAAAGTTCGATACTTGACCATGTTATGTTTCCTTTTTAGAAAACTGCGGCACCGAGTTAACTGGTGAATCCGGGTTCTTAGCCTTCAAAGGAAACGGCTCGAAAAACGCCCTTTGCATATGGCGAATAAGCGTTTCTCCAAGCAGGCAGATACATTTGCGCGCTACCCAGTTGGAGGTGTGTTTTCAGCACATATTCTCGTCCCTAATAGAAAGTGCCCATTTTGCCATTGGCTACCTCATTGGACTTTTGGCATTTACACAATAATTGGCTGGATATCTACGCACTTGATTAGACTTCCGTGATTTAGATGAGCTGATATGTATTTTACGTATTAGTCAAACTAAGCGAAATGAAACTGAGGTTTATAGATCCTAGTGGGTTCCTTTTCAGCAGTTACCCCGCCACCACCGGGAGTAACCGGATGATGATATCAAGATGATAGTCATAAGTAAGGAAAAGACGGAAGATATACACAGCCGCTTGTGCAGCGTGATTATGACTTCTGTTGGGTCAACAAGCAAAACTGACAGATAAAGCAAGACAGTACTACGCGACGAGAAGATGAGGGAGAATAAAATTCGAAAACATAGACGAGAAATACCCCTATGAACGGATGAGAACGACTAGTTAGTACCGTCGAAGAAAACCTATCGCAATCGTGTCTAGTAATGATCAAGTTAATCGCAGAATCTCTAGACAAGTAGCTGGATCTAGAATTGTGCTTTATCGATCAACCCGTTGAGATGTATCCTTGCAGTGGCAGTCCAGGTTAAGCTCTTGAAGAGAGTAGAGGTTATAATAATAGGCCAACTTTCATCGTTCTTAGTTCCCTTCAGCTGCATTTAGGTACATCGTTTTAACCGTACGACACATGCCATCACAATATGTAATGTTGTTCTCAAGATGGACACATTGTATCGCCAGGTCCTCGTTGTTGCAGACTGAAAAATCAGTTAAGGAAATATTCGACTGAAGCCTTGTAATACTTTCGACGGGTACTTTCTTTGTTTGCTAATCTTGTAAGGACAACTATCCTGCATAACAAAATTAGCTCTATTGCATATGTTTAGACTCGAGTTGAAAACGCGGTGGTCCGAGATGCTAGAAAGTGTCAGCTTTTATAATTTAATAGTTACACGTTACGTGTGTAAGTAGCGTCCAGCCGCGTATCTTTACTGATAAAAAATCCACTATATTTACCAAG